AGTGGGGGTTAGTTTTTAATGCATGCACTACCACGATATATCCGTGTATCTCATCCATTTTAGGCCTTTAATTTACTAAGATGTATGGTTAAGATTTGTTCTTATTTCTTATATATATTGCTTTTCTGATTAACCCCCCACCCCAAAACCCTAGCCCAACCCGGGAAAAAAAACAAAAAAAAAGCCCGAACCGGGCAAGGCCAGGCCGATTCCAAAGGATGGGGTGACCCGTACCCGGCCGGTCCAAGGCCCGGAACCGGTCTGAAACAGTACCGGGCCGGGCCGGCCAGACCGGACCCGGGCCCAGACTATTTGCAAGACAGTGGTAAAATTGGAATTTGCACTTGAAGAAATTAATATGGAAATAATGAATATAAAATATATGTCTAGACTACTCCTGTGTGAAATCGGAACCGTTTGTATATTGAAAAAAGTGACTTTAGAGGGGTAAATGTCTCAAATTCATCTCCTCAAACCCTAATTTCCATGGGTAGATGTGGATTCCTAGTTCTCACACAGCCCCTCAAACCTATGCTATTGGTTTCTTCGACCCTTGCGATGGTAAAGTGACCCGATCACTAGTTACCAAGGAGTTGTTGAGAACGCTGTCCTCTTAATGATTTCTTCATCATTGAGTGTCATAACGATGATTTCTTACTAGTGGCGTTTTTTTCTTGTTCTTTCATATGAAATTCAGTGTTTCGAGGGTTTGGGATGATTAATTTCTTCATCAGGGTTTCGAGGTCGAGGATTAGGCTCAATGCTTTGGTTGATATTATTACCGGTGGTGGGTTTGGTCTCACGAAATGAATGATTTCATGGTGGTGATGCATTTTGCGGTTGTGGGGAATGGAATGTAAGTCTAGTATCATTCAAAATAATTTGATGATCCTCTCGTCCCATGATCAGAAATAGAATTTAGTCACCCTCAGATTAGTATACCAAATCGCAGACCATGTAAGAGCTTTGAAGAAAAAACCAGCTTTAAGAGCCATAAAACTTCTGAATGGGGTGATAGACACCCTAAAAATCCACTTGAACTTTTTCCGGCCCGAATCATTATTAAAAGCAAAATACTAGAATAAAATAAGTACTGATTGAAATTCCTGCTCACTCCACGCCATGGAACTAGATACCTTAACGAGCTGGTTCGACTCGGCCCGCCTCTATTCTTGCATGTTCTTCCTTTTGATAAATAGAGTCATCCTTTCTGGCACTAGTATCATCACAGCCTGCTGCTCCTCGTACCACCAAAATATCTCTCTCCCCTGTATCGTCCTCCCTCACCAGGCTTGAAACCATATCCATCCTCTTCCTTGGACCTCCAAAATTCTTCTCTCCTCTACTTGGTACCATCCACTTGTTTCCTCCACTCACTTGCCTATTCTCCCACAGTATATGTAAACCATGGTCCATAAGGTTTTTATGCTCCCACTGAACCATTCTCCAATAACGTAGGGCAGAATTATTCTGCACGCCCAATTATCACACATAAAAATAAAATCTAGGTAGATTTTCATACCGAAAATTCACAATGAAACCCTCTCCACCCTCCTTTTTTAATTTCAATCTTTTTCAAAGGTTTACGAACATCAAGAGTAACCCTAATTCTCACAAACGGATTCCAAGCTTCCCTAACAGTACTTTCATCGGTGCAGATAAAAGAGTACAAATAATTCCCTATTTTAATAGCATTTGATGGAGTAAGATATCCTATGGGCAGATTATGCACCTGGACCCAAAAGTAAGTCAAATAGAGAGAGGAACATTGGATGGAATATCCCCATCCTTAAGCTTACTAGGATAATTAGATTTTGATCAAACAATCATGGGCCATCATTCAACATTTTATTCAAATCAACTTCATGGTAAAATTGAAACAAATATCGACTAGGGGTGGGCAAAAATACCGAACCGACATGGTATTGAACTGGACCGGTATGATACCGAACCAATAAACGGGATTTTTAATGGATTTAAAAAAATGTCCCGAACCGGACCGTACCGGTTCCAAAGAATGCCATGACGAGTTCTCATAAAATGAGAACCGATACCGGACGGAACTGGACCGAAGTATGGTTTAGTTATTTAAATTTGTACTACTACTATAGTTTATCTGAAAGTTATTAATTACTCCATCCGTCTCAAATTGATTTGCTTGTAAACCAATGTTAATGTTAACTTCTCCTTATTGATAATCAATACATTTTTTAATAACTAAAATTTACATATTTAGAAATCACATTAAAATCTCTTTAAAGTTGCAAATCCAAATTAGAATATACTTTTTTTGAAAGGCCAAATTAGAATATAATTAAAAGGTGATATCCTAATTAAGTGAATAAAAAGAAACTGTTTGACAGAAAAAGTTTGACTTTGCAAATCAATTTAGGACGGCGGTAGTATGAAATATGAAAATTGATAAATTGTGTGGATTTTTGGAGGATGTCTAAACTTTAATTGTCCTTTAAGCACTTGGAAAAAGTGACATTGTTTGGTATTTGTGTGGCATGGTACCGTCCTGTTTGAAAATGGAACCATACCGAACGGGTATAGGTCTAAGACCGAACCAAATCGAACCGGCTCAATAGTCACGGTACAGGTACGAGTTCGGCAAAATATTAGACCGGACCGAACTGTGCCCACCCTAATACTCACGATTTCCTAAATCCTTAATAGATACCCCTCTAGCGGGTACCCATACAGTCGCAATGGTTACCGTAAAGAACCAAAAATGCCTTCTCTCCTTCCGAGCCTGGTCTTACCTGGCGGCTGAGAATCACGAAGGGAGTCGTCGAAATCTAACCCAAGCACGAAGAGAGGAGTTACACCTTCTACCGCCGGGTAAACTAAATGAAAACGAAAAGAGCGGTTTGTGCACACCCCTAGATCACGATAGTGTACGAGTAATTGGACAAGAATCACGATAGTGTATTGCAGAGTAACAAGTCACTGATAGATAATGAGTCACTAGAAACTAATCACCAAGTATGTTGTTTTTTAGAAAATTTTAAAATAAGTCATACTTTTTTATAATTTTAATTTAGTAATATTCATGAAAAAAGGTCTTGTTATAATTGTAAATACATGTATATATCTTATTTTCACAAAACTAGGGCCATGTATAAATTATAAATGTATCTTATGGAGTATATTTTAAGATGGGGTGAAAATGGAGGTGCATTTTATTACTCTCTCTGTCCAATCTTGGTTATCTTATTTTCCATTTTAGGTTATTCCAAAATCAATGTCATATTTTCCTTCTTTCGTAAAAAATATAGGGTTCATGTCATTTCACTTTATTCAACTTAAACCTCAATCTCAAACAACTTCTAATTTGGAGCATTTAAAAATAGAGAACTAAAAAAAGTGTTGAGGTTTATTCCTTCAACTCCAAAGGCCCAACACCTTCCCTTGGGTTTAGAATGGAATATGTGATACAAGCAAGTGAGGAAGAATAAATAAGAAGAGTAGGGGTGGGAAAAAATACCGAAATTCGGTATACCGGACTTACCATATCGAAAAATACCGAATTTACCGAAATGTTTGGTATACCGACACTTTTGGTACAGTATGATACCGTACCGAATTACTTCGGTATGACATCGGTATATATTTTGGAAATAAATGGTATACCGTATACCGGTATACCGTCATACCGTAATTCCAAGTCAATAATTTCCTTAAAATTGTAAAAATAACTAGAAACAAAACACTAATTCAAGGATAAATGACTTTATATCCATGTTTCTTGAATTATTTATACTTTTTGTTGGAGATCGGTGTTATTTTAATTATATTTATGTTGTTTAGATTATTTTAGCAGAGTGTGTTGTTATCTTCATATATCATGTGTTGAAATATCTATACATATTTATAATATTTTTTGTCAAAAGTTGATAAGAACACAAATAGGTTATCTCATTGGTATTTTATAATTAATTTCATTAATGATTTTAGTATATCACTATTAACACTGATTTTCTTTATTTCATTTGACATATGATATTTTGTTATATTAAATAATGGTAATTTACCAATACCGTACCTTACCGTATCGAAATATCGGTATACCGAAATTTTGGTATGATAACGGTATGTATTTTTGCATACCGAAAGTTTAAAGCATGGTAAAGGTATACGATAAAATATTTGGTATACCATACCGGACCACCCCTAAAGAAGAGTAGTAAGTGGGTTGTATCTTATTCCATAAATATAAGAGTCTTGTCACAACACACCTCACTACAAGCCCAACGGGGCCGATCGTCTAACTTTGCTAAGAGGAGGAGGAATAGTTGTTATTGCTAGAGGGAATATGTTGTCAACCCTTTACAATGAAATAAATGCTACTACACTATTTATACTATTAAGTGCAGGTAATATTGAATGATGTGTATGATTGTGAATGACTAGCTTTCCAACTACCAAATAGACTACAATAAAGGGGTCTGGATGAGAGTCTCTCAGATCTTGGATCATGGATCCAGATGAGTGCAAGGGTGAGGCTCTACTCGGCTCATGTGTACCGTCCCAGCAAAGATCATTGGTCATCATCCGGCTCTTGTTGGGCCAAGGCCATTGAGGCCAAGCACCCGACGAGCGTCTGACCGGCACCTTTGCCGGAGCGTGTCCGACTTGGGCGGTCCGACAGTCCCTAGGCAACAATGGTAAAGGCTGTGAGGGGTAACTTGATCCAATCACTAATAAAAAGTACTCCCTCCGTCCCCTATTAAATGGGACGGGAGATGGTGGCACAGGTTTTAAGAAAAATGAGTTTGTGTGGTTGATATTAATTGATAAAATAAGAGTAAAGTAAGAATGATTTTGAGCCACACAAAATTTACCAAATAAGGTATGGAACAATTAAATAGGGACATCCCAATATGGTAAAACGAGACATTTAAAAGGGGACGGAGGGAATAGTATTTAAAACGAGACATTTAAAAGGGGACGGAGGGAATAGTATTTAAGAGTGTTTAAACTAGATGTTGCTCCTATTTTGGGGAAAAAACCATGTTTTGGTCTTATTAATAAGGTAAATCTCTAGTATAAACTAAAAGTAGTATAACAGTTCCCATAATAAGTACAGAAAGTAAAATACAATATAGACACCAAGCTAAAAAGGAATAACATTTCACTGGTCCAGCCAAGACAAAAACTACTTGGCCAGCCAGCTGGGGATCTTTCTAACAATACAAGTAACTACAAGGACTGACTCAACTATTATCACCCATGCTCTTGCTGCAAATTCAAAAAACATCATGCAGCAGGCCCCACCCTTAGATAATTCATTCCTATTTTTTCTTGTAAAATAAAAAAAAACGAAAGTTACAATATTTTTTCATAGAGATTCCCAGTCGATCTCATGAGATGGATATTTATGCAGCTCCGAGCACATGTCCCACGTGGACTGTTCGTCCGTGAATTGCGAAAACGTTAGATCCGACAGTGAAGACGACTCGCCCGACCCGGAATCGGACCCGTAACTTTCCGACACGGCCGCGTTGCCCTTCTCCTCTTCCTTCGGCGTCCTCGGCTGAGCCGGCTTCGATTTCCTGGAGTCAACGCTCTTGTTCTCAGCCAAGTTCCGGCAGATGGCTTCCAGCTTGGCATCCACGTTGGACTGGAGCGGCTTGTACTCCCCGAAGTCTCCGCTGACGAGCGAGCCGTTATGGTGGAGGTTCGGGAAGTTGAGCCGAGCCGAGTCGCCCCGGAGCTTGTACGCCGCGTTGTCGTAGGCGAGAGCCGCCTCCTCCGATGTGTCGAAGGTTCCGAGCCAGAGCCGGGTCCGGCTCTTGGGTAAACGGATCTCCGCAACCCACTTCCCCCAGTGGCGCTGCCGTACGCCTCTGTACAGCTTCGTCGGCTTCGGCGCGGCGGTGGACAGCTTCATCGGAACGGGCTTCGGCGCCAGAAAGCTCAGGCTCGGCCCGTGGTGGGCCCAATGGATCTGGGCCGGGGAAGAGCCCATCAACTGTTGGGCGTGCTGGCCTATTTGATTCTGGATCTGATTGATTTGGGTTGTGGTCAACGGATTAAGCCCAATAGAGCCCAACTGATCAACCTCGTAACCAGAATAACCAGATTCAACCATCCCGGTGGAGGTAGAGCAGCCGCCATTGGAGGAGCTCATGTAAGGGTAAGTGGAAGAAGAAGAAGACAAAGAAGGTGATGGAGACGCGCTTCTCATAAAAGGTCCAAGCGCGTCCATGAGATCACCACCGCCATTAAAAGGCTCAGAAGAATTGAGATCTACACCTATGCTATTCCACAGATCCATGGTAGCTGCCATATATGTTCTAAACAAAATCAAGTTAAAAAAAAATAAAAATTCAAGTAAAAGAATCAAAAGAGGTATTTCAAATAACAGCCTCCCTCTTCCTTTCCTTGATTAAAATTCAAAGATCAAACTTCGAGGGACAACAAATAAGCCCTCTTCGCAGATCTGGTGAAAAAAAAAAATCTTAAATAGATCTCAAAATAGTTGAAAGTTTTCAAAAACAGTTGATTAGCAGATTCAATAAAAAAACAATTAAAAAGAGATTTTTTGATCGAAGAAAATATTTGATCGTGTAGGTGAAGTGTGTGCGAGTGTGAGGGAATATAACGCTGTGTATATATATCTCTCAGCCTCACTTTTGTGTTCTTGAGCAGCAAAGCAATGGTGAGCTTATATAGAATGTCTGGAGATGGGGTTTAGTGCGTATTGATTAAACAATTAAGTAATTAATTGATTAATGGCTGTTTTCTTTCGTTTAATTTAACGAAAACAATATTTCACCTAATCTTTTTGGTCCCCTGTCAAACCAGTGGGTATTGACGTCATCTCTCTCCAAACGGGAAACTAACTGTATCAAACGGTGACGGCTGGAGATTCATTGACACGTGTCAGTCAGTTTACAGCCACCAGCCGGTCAGTTTGGCTTCTAATGAGCTTGTTCACACTGACTCCTCTTTTAGCCGTTTATTCTGTTGTCATTTTCTCGTTAAATTAAATATAGAGATATTAAATATAGAGATATTAAATTAAATATAGCTACCATCCTCGAGAATTTTGTGATTTAGTCAATATTTCTGACAGAGAAGGTTTTATTTGTTTAATTAATACAATAGGGAGTCTATTCAACCATTCTAACCACATTTCCAATAATTTTATAGATTCAAGGAGTCTTTGGGATTACTTTAAAAAAGCGCCTTTTAGCTTTTGGCTTAAAAAGTTAAAAAGAGTGTTTTCAAATGACAACTTCTGCTTAAATTAATTACTTAAAAGCTAAAAGCTGGAAGCAGGTAAAAGGGTGCTTTAAACTACTTCTCACTTTTTCTATTACACAAAAAATACTTATTTTACCAAACACTACCAACTTTTACTTTTTCAGAATCACTTTTTTCTCAAACACTACTAACTTTTACTATTAATCATTTTTCCCAAAATCACTTTAAAAAATCACTTTTTTAAAGTTGAAGCAATTGCAAACACACCCTGTTTATTAAACCAATTTGAAACAAAAAGTTTTGAATTCCATATTGAAATAGTATAAATCACGCTACATCATTTCACAAAATTTCTATATTATTATTTCGATCCCTTCAGTCCCTTGTCAAACCTGTAAAAGATACGAGTATGTAATACTTCGTATAAGAGACGGAGATTTATAATACTTTTAGTCATGAATTTATTATTATTTCTTTGTTTTTGTTCATGCAATTTTGAAAATAAAAATTAAAGACCTGCTTGATAACTTCTATTATCGACTTATCAATCAATTTGATCAAACGCTAAACTTTTTTTTGTACACCCCGAGTCATGTAAAAATCTAAATAAGTAAGATTGGAGCTATATTTGACTGAATTTGTCAAACTTATTAAAGAAGACTATTTTAACTTATTTCGTGTATTTTTAAAATTAGTTATGTACTCCGTATATATTAATTTATTTAATATATAATCACTTGAGTAAAATATATTGTGTATTTACTCTCTTTGTACCATAAAAAATTTCTCATTTACCATTTTGGAATGCCCTAATTCTTTCCGTTTCGCTTTTAAAATTTTTTTGTGTGATTAACATTCATTTACATTTTTCTTCCCAAATTACACGCATATATATTCATTTTATTCTCACTTTTATAAACCTCAATGGAAATCAAACCACAAAAAAATTAAATGAAAAGGAGGGATTATTTTATTAAATAAATTAATTCAGTAAATATATATATCAGTATATAAATTTATTTAATTAGTTGATTCATCAAATTTAGTAGATTTCATCACATAGTCAACGGCTCTAATTACAGAGTATTTGGTAGAATTTAACGACTACAGGATCTAACTTTTAACGGCTTCAAATAATTTGATTAAAATATAGTATGTACTATTAAACCATCAAAGTCAGTGCGGTGCATAATGCAGCACAAAATATGCGATAAGATCGAACGAATGGTGATTATAGTGTGCGGAAGCCGCTAATGGCAAATCCTAGCTAGCTACTAGAATACGAATATGTCTTTCTTTCATTGATTGGGGTATCATCATTATAAATAAATATCTTATCGCCTAACAAAATATACTTAAGTAGATCGTTGAAATAATGGTTAGGCGTGATTTAGTTCTAAAATGACCTATTTTATACACAAATGGTAAGTGATTAACCTATAATTTATTCGGCAGTGACGACGACTTCTCGCGGAAGAAGTTTATCGGTGACTTTTTTTAGCACTATAAAATATGGCTATTTTTTCTTGCCTTGCCAATTACTTCTGTACTATTTAACAATAATTTAATGGGAAGTTAATGGACAAAGCAAAATTCCTCAAATGATCACGTACAGTTACTTGGAATGATTAAGCCTCTTTGTTAGTGTAAAAGTCGTGTGTAATCAACGACTAATACTCACTAATTTATGTATCATCTTATTTTCTAGAGCAATAGTGAGCTTGAAAATATGGTGCATATATCAAGGTGAAGTTCCTACTCCCCTCCATCGAACAAAGAAAAATCGTGTTTATTTGTTCAAATTTCTTTCTTGCTCTTCATTTTCAAATTTGAAACAATAGAATTAGTGAAAGTCTCCGACTTTTGTTAATGTTTTGAAATACGGAAATAATCATAGTCATCATATGTACTATATGTACCAACTACCAAGTAACTTTTTTAAAAAAAATAACTATATACACGGAATATATGAGATCATTTGGGAACATTGAGATAGACTAAATCGACTAAATCTCCTAAAACTTATGAATTTATTATGGTTGAATTGGCTGAATTTATTTATTTATGAAAAAATAAAAAATTAATTTTATTAATAAAAAAAAATTTAAAAAATACATGAAAACAACTAAAATCATCCACTATAATAACTTCAACTTATTTAGTGAAAAAAATAATTTCAGACGTGTATTTATTTTGATTATCACACAATTCAACGCGTGAAATAAAAAATTGTGTGTTTGTAACAAGTTACCAGATAAGATTAATAAGTTGAAAGAAATTGTATTAAATAAGAGCAAAAATATTTTTAAATTCATAATACGATTGCCATGTTTTTATTCACACAAAAAATAATTATTGCCACGTTTTGACATTAATATACCTTAAATATGATATTATTTTTCAAATTTGACAGTAATTACCTCTATTTAGGATGTTTTTACTTGGACTGTAATTTGTCCCAGACCAGACTTGGATAGTTATAAAAATATAAAGAAACCAGATCTTACCAGACCAAACCAGCAAATTACAGTCCAAGTAAAAACATCTTTAGTGAATGAAAACATGACAAACATATTTTAGAATTCCAAAGCATTTACTTATATTTCATTTTCTCATAAGTTGAAAAAAAGAGTTACGATGCAGACTATATTATATACTCTTCTATCCTGTTAAAATTGTCACACCTTTTTTTTAGTTTGTTCCACTAAATTTGTCCCATATGAAATTTGTAAAATTTGTGTGAATTTAAATCGTTTTTACTTTATCAATTCATTAAAAACACATAAACTCACTTTTGTTAATAAGTAGTACGTATTTCACATATTAATGACTTAATAATAGTGGGACATATATATATATATATATATATATATATATATATATATATATATATATATATATAGGAGTATATTCCAAAACAACTTTTATGCAATACGGAGTGCAATAAAATCATGAGTCAAAATTAGAAAGATCTTATGGAGGCAAGGAAATCCTATTAACCCATCAAGCTGGTGACACACATCTATTGCGGTAGAGGTGGTGAGTGATTGGATGGACTTGGTCCAACGCCACGTTTTACGCGTTTAACGAAATAGAATAACATGAGAGGTTTAAGAGTATCTCCAATGATATAATGTCCACGGTGCACATGTGGCATGAGTGATAGCCACATAAATATTAGCAACTAAATTATTTATCTCCTTATTTGAATGATTTTATACAATTTTGGTAAGTTTTTCCCTGCAATGTCAACATCTAGACGGTCTCCTTGACAGTGTGGAGAAAAACTTACCAAAACTGTATAAAATCATTCAAATAAGGAGAGAAAAAATTTATTTACTAACATTTATGTGGCTATTTTTCATGCCACGTGTGCACCGTGCACATTTTACCATTGGAGATGCTCTAAGTCGTGTACTCACCTATTTCAGTACTATGTATCATACTACCTCCATTTTGTGTGTCTTAGTTTGACTTGACATAGTTATTAATGAAGTGGTTGAAAAAGTAAACGTTGTGGTTTAGATTAAAGTATCATAAAGTGAAATGGTGTAGGCAACATATTTCTAAGGAAAGAATACACTTATTTTGGGACAACCTAAAAAGGAAAGTAGGACAAGTAAAATGTGACGGAGGGAGTATCAGATTTGAACTTTTGAATTGAGTGAATTATACTTGATATGACACATTTGAACATAAGTAGTAAATAAAATGAGAAATGTCCCTACACTACATGCAAACTTATACTCTCTCCGTTTCTTATAACTTTATCAACTTTTTTTGGATGTCCCATTAACTTTGTCATTTTCCCCTTTAAGTAAAGAAGTTGTGGTTCCGGTTTCAAAAAAAAAAGAATTTGTGGTTCCAATTAATTCTCTCTCCTCTGCACAAAAATCAACCACACAATTTTTACTTTATAAATTCTCGTGTAGGTCAAACTTGGCAAAGTTATTAGGGACGGAGGGAGTATTTCAATTCTAATTATCTGCGCATGGACAATAATTTTTAATTTTATTAAATGGAAGTGTATGTTAATTCGAATTGTCTACGCAGACACTTCCCTTTACTAAAATTAAAATCAATTATCTATACGCAGATAATTTACACTTGGGCGTGTAAGTCTACATGTAACTGAACATGTACAAGTTGTATTTCTCAAATAACATTTGATAGAGAAAATACTTTTAAAGGGAGAAAACATAAATAGTTTTGAATACTATATATGAGGGTAAATATACTCTCCAACTTCATTTCAGAGCAATTAGAAACATACGAAAGTATTCTTTAATTGTGATAATAGTACTTTGAAATATACTCCCGTCCCTATATAAAAGACATACTCTGACTGTCACACATCTTTAGGGAATACTGTTTGGCACTGTTTAGACACTGTTTGACACTGTTTTGCACTGTTTTGTTTGTCGAAAAAAGAAATGAGACTTATATATGGATAACCCAAAAAGGAAA